TGGCATCAAAATCTGGCAACACTATTTTTGGTCAAAATTCATGTGAAAATAGTGTCCTCGAATATCCTACATAGATATGTAGACAAATTTCCCAACCCCACAGCTCGGTCAAAACTCAACCGATTCTCACGAGGTTCGACTTTTTATTCATGGTTTGACCTCTAGATAAAATTGGCATCAAAATCTGGCAACACTATTTTTGGTCAAAATTCATGTGAAAATAGTGTCCTCAAATATCCCATATAGACATAGGTCAAAACTTCCCACCCCCAGAACTCTGTCAAAACTCAACCGATTCTCACGAGGCTTGGCTTTTTATTCATGGTTTGACCTCTAGATAAAAGTGGCATCAAAATCTGGCAACGTTATTTTTGGTCAAAATTCATGTGAAAATAGTGTCCTCAAATATCCCATATAGACATAGGTCAAAACTTCCCACCCCCATAACTCTGTCAAAACTCAACCGATTTTCACGAGGTTCGACTTTTTATTCATGGTTTGACCTCTAGATAAAAGTGGCATCAAAATCTGGCAACGTTATTTTTGGTCAAAATTCATGTGAAAATAGTGTCCTCAAATATCCTATATAGACATAGGTCAAAACTTCCCACCCCCATAACTCTGTCAAAACTCAACCGATTTCCACGAGGTTCGACTTTTTATTCCTGGTTTGACCTCTAGATAAAAGTGGCATCAAAATCTGGCAACGCTATTTTTGGTCAAAATTCATGTGAAAATAGTATCCTCAAATATCCTATATAGACATAGGTCAAAACTTCCCACCCCAATAACTCTGTCAAAACTCAACCGCTTCTCACGAGGCTTAGCTTTTTATTCATGGTTTGACCTCTAGATAAAATTGGCATCAAAATCTGGCAACACTATTTTTGGTCAAAATTCATGTGAAAATAGTGTCCTCAAATATCCTATATAGACATAGGTCAAAACTTCCCACCCCCATAACTCTGTCAAAACTCAACCGATTTCCACGAGGTTCGACTTTTTATTCATGGTTTGACCTCATGATAAAAGTGGCATTAAAATCTGGCAACGCTATTTTTGGTCAAAATTCATGTAAAAATAGTGTCCTCAAATATCCTATATAGGCATAGGTCAAAACTTCCCACCCCCATAACTCTGTCAAAACTCAACCGATGTCCACGAGGTTCGACTTTTTATTCATGGTTTGACCTCTAGATAAAATTGGCATCAAAATCTGGCAACGCTATTTTTGGTCAAAATTCATGTGCAAATAGTGTCCTCAAATATCCTATATAGACATAGTTAAAAATATATATATATAATTTGAATAAAGGTATTGAACTTTCACTTAAAAAATGAAAGCAATGTTTTATGTTTTATTTAAAGTTTTAAGTTTTTAAAAGTTTTATTGTGTAAAGTGCATTATAAAAATGTTATAAAAAACCAGTATGCTTAATAATCTTTATAATGTGCATACTCAGTTATGTGTGTAAATATGTTCCATAAGAGGCTATTGGCACGGCTAACAAACGTGTGTGGAGTGTATATATCGTACTATATATATATATATATATATATATATATATATATATATATATGTCTAGGCACTTTAAATACATGGAAAAAGGAGTTCAACCTCGTAATTGTGCACAGTTGCATGGCTAGTGGATACGCTAATCTAGGCATAGAAGTGTCTAATCTGCGTCTAATCAGATTGTTTTTGTGCGTATTCGAAATACTGTTTAGATTGGTTCAGTTCCGCTTTAGGCTGGAATAATGCTGCGCACACAGGCGGGACTGCAGAAGGGCATGTCCTGCTTGACGCAGAAGCGGCCGCCAATCAGGGACTTGGCGCACTCGGCACCGGCGCACACGAAGCACGGCCCGTGCCAGTGGATGTCGCCCCAGGCGACGCCTTGATCGGCTGGCCCGATGGGCAGCTGGCAGCGCTTGCAGGTGCCGGCATAGAACTTGTCGTAGCACTGCAGGCAGAGCGGCATGTTGGACTTCTCGTCGGGTATGTACTGCTGCCCGGCCAGCGGCTCGTCGCACTGCAGGCAGCAGAAGTGCTTGATGTGGTACGTGGCGCCCTCGGCGGCGGTGTACTCCTTGGTGAAGATCAACTCGTCGCAGGCCTTGCAGCGCGGTATCTTCAGCTTGATGGCCAGATCGCGGCCGCAGTAAACCTGTCCGTGATGGAAGAAGTACACCAAGTCGGCCAACAGTTCGCGGCAGGTGTGGCACTTGAAACAGCCCGGATGCCAGGCAATCTCCTTGCCCGCCCGCTCCGCCTTGACGGCCACCTCGCCCAGCTCAATGGCTAGACCGCAATCGCGGCAGCTGATGTTGGGCAAAGCTACCGCTCCTGCTCCTGCGGAATCTGTGCAATTAAGTATATCAGTAGTATAATGGAACATTCTGCTTAGAGCTACTCACCTCTCGCCGGGCTGTCCTCGCCCAGCTGCAGCTGCTGGAACTGCTCCGGCATGCCCGCACACTGGGGATACATGTTCATGTGCTCAATGCCCGGAATGCTGGTGAACTTGCCCAGGCTGGCGTTGATGTCTTCGGCCGCGTGCCCAGGCGTCGATGGTTTCGAGCAGAAGCCAGAGTCATGGCTCGCCGAGTTGGTCAGCGTGTCGTTGCCGTAGCTGATGTCGCCGCCAGCTGCATTGGCCATGTTGGCGAACAGCTTGTCGATGTCGTCGAGCAGCTGCTCATCGTTCAGCAGCCAATCGTTCATCTGCTTGAGCGGCTCCAGCAGCTGGCACTGGTCATGCCGGATGCCCTTGTCCTGCAGCGTCTGGAAGAGGCGACTGTAGTAGGGCGCGTTGGCCGCCGCCGATTGCAGCATCTGCTTGTCCACGCCCACGCGCTGCAGCTGGGCTTTGGTAACGGGCGCCAGGCCCTCCAGCTGCTGCAGATTATCGGTGGCTGCGGGTGCTGAGGCAATGATCACCGACGGAGCAGTGCGCCCGGAGCGTGCCTCCTGCAGTGCCTGCTTCAGCGGTTCCGCCTGCACGATCTGAGCAAAGACCGGATCGCGTTCGTAGTCAATGTGGGCGGGCAGTCCACAGTCATACAGAATGGTGGACACGCCGCCAAACTTGACGCGCCGCATGGGCGTATCCTGCCGCATCTGGGCGCCAAAGCGAGCCTGCGCCGGATTCTTGAGCGGCAGCGGCGAGTGAAACGGCGTACCCGGCGATGATTTCAGCGGAGTTGTCGCCAATGCAGGCGGCGCACACACCGTATTAATCTCAGCCCTAAACTGGGGATTGCTGGCATATTCCTTGCGAAACTCCGAGATTGGGCCCAGCCTGGCATCACGCGATATATTCAGGTTCTTCTCCTGCAAGTGGACAATTTGTATACTTTCAGAGTTATAATTATTGCTTTATAATTAACTTTCAAAATTTGACGCTAAATACATTTAAGACGGAATTCACCTCTCAATGCGCGGAAAATGGTGAAAACCAGCTATTAGAAACCCGTATTTGTGAGAAGTACAACACGAGTTGTATATCCACCAATTCTAAGAATATGCATATGCGGACTCAAGCTGACGACTGTCTGACAAAAGCTGCGTGATATTTCGCATAAAACAAATCGAACTTAGGAAACTGCAAGATCTAACTGTTCAAAGTCGAAAACTGTAATACTGTTATTTTTAGAGATTTAGCGCCATCTAGATGACTCTGGCGGAACTTACCTGCAGCAAGCCGAGGAGCTTGTCATAGACGACGCCGTGGGTGACGAGGCTTTGCATGGATGGCTTGCTGATGCCCAAGAGCTTGATCTTGGTCTCGGCACGCAGTGCGGGATGTGCATCGAACTCGGTTGTGGAATCGCTCAGCGGCTCCGAAAAGGCCACCAGCAGCTTGGGCTGCGCATGCGTTCCTTGTTGCGAGAGGGCATGCGCCAGTTTCTGATTGGACAGCAGCTCGTACAGCGTGGCATCGAGTACGGGCGGCAGGCCGAGCGAATGGAACAGCTTGCGGGCAGCCTCCGGCAAGACTGGCGTCGGCTGGGCCGGCACAATGTGCTCCACATGGCCGTGCGCCAGACGACCCACGCGCACCACGATGCCTTGACCGACGCACTGATCGCGCAGCTTTTGCACATATTGCTGTAGCTGCTGGGCCTCGGTTTCGGTGAGATTGTCACAGAGCGCGGCGTCCAGGTCATGTGGCGGCACCTGAAACTCCAGCTGCTGCTTGCGCTTGTTGGCCGCGTCGCTGCCGGCGACGGGTATTTGAGCAGCGCCCAGCTTCTCCATGTAGTCCGTGACGACGTCGGGTGCTGCATTCGGTGGCACCCATTCCACCTGCACCGGCTGGCTGGCCAACGCCTTGATCTTGATGTCTGTCGGACGGTTATACATATAGCCTTACGAATGATCTGTGATTGATCTTGCACTTACATGCGGGCTTTGCTCGTATCTGGCCGAGGATCTCGAACTGCGCCCAGCCGGTGGCGTCGTCATCCGTGCACAAGTGCTGGTCCTTGCGGCACATGCAATTGCGGCAGACCTTGCGCCAGAAGTGCAGATCCAGGCCGGGACACTTGTCCTGGCACTCGCCACAAGGTGCTCCGGCGCCGGATTCGTGGCCAAGTTTCGAACGCTTCAGCAATTCCCGTCTGCTTTCCAGCTTGGACAGCCACTCGGGTGCCGTGGGCGTCTCCACGCACGAGTTGGTATTGGCATTGTTAGTCGCAGTGTTCGCCATTTTGTTAATGACTCATACCTTGGACACCGGTCATTAATTTTAATAGTTAAATTTAGTAAAAAGCCAAATAAATATGAAATTTTGCAAAAGGCAAAGACAAAGCACCGAGCAGTGTGACCAGGCACAACAAACACTAAAATACCCAATCCAATGTGCAGCTGGTTTCGTTAAGTTTGCTCCACAATTCGTTTAGCCTGGACATCAACACATTTAGCGAGTGCAAAATATTACAATCAGCTGATTTGCGAACTTCGAATAATAGTTAACTTGGCTGCGGCTCATTCAGTGCATTGTTTTTCGCGAACGTGCAGCCCTGTCCAACAACCAAAACTAAATTGCCAGCCATTGCATAAAAAAACATAGATATTCCGTGCAAAAACGTTTAAAATACATTAATAAACGGAATAATTGCGTGATGCGTAGATATTGAGCAAAACGCTAGCGAAAAACTGTCGAAAATTATATACGCGAGCAGCGTTCACGCAGAATAAGCGAAACATTCAAGAAAATGCAATAAATGTATGTGTATGTAGGTGGAAACAACTGCGTCCCACTGAAAAGTGAAAGTGCAGCAGGACGGACGGACGGACGGACGGACAGGCGGGCGGACGGTAGAGCTTGGCTGCGGCCAAAAAGTGGCCAAGAAACTGGCCAAGATAATCGCTTACAACTACAGCTGCAATTGTAATTGAAAATTGTTTTAATGTGCGTTTTTACCGGTCTCATACCATTCGACAACAAATTGACTTTGGATTTCGCATGGTGGTTGTTTTTGGTTTGCTCTCGTTTCTGCTTGCTTGCTTGCTTGTGTGTGTGTGTGTGTGTGTGTGTCCGTGTAAGCGTGTGACTCCTGTGGTAGGTGGAGGGGTGGGGGGAGGTGCATTTGAATTTGAGTGCGTTTATAAAAAAGTGATTTAAATGTTGCTCCGTCAAGGGGTTGACCATACACACATGTATTCACATTTTGCAATTTGATAATTTCAGCTGCTGTGAGGGTCATTGTATATCCATTAGCCAAATCAAACGCGGATTGCTGCCTCTTGATTCACACGTAAACATGACCGAAAAGTACGACGGCAACGGCGACTATTCCTCGTACAATGAGGAGGACAGCAATGAGTATGGCGGAGGCGGTGGCAGTGTTGGTGGCGGCGGCGGCGGCGGCGGCGGCGGCGGAGGCAAGCCGCGCAAAAGTGTGGGCAGTGGCGGCGCCCACAATGGAGACAGTGGTGTCCACGATCATCATGGCGGCCCCGAGGGCAGCGCCAATGTGCAGCTGAATGAGAAGGCCAGCGAATACATACGCGACTGCATGGCCGAGAAGAATCGCATGGACAGAAAGTTTCCAATTGCCGAGAAGCTGTTGGAGGGCGGTAAGCGTCAGTCGAATTCACGCATTTCTTCATTTCACCTGTTTCAATTGATTTCTTGCAGAGATTGAAAAGGTTCAGACCACCGGACGCATACCGTCGCGGGAGCAAAAGTACGCCGACATCTATCGCGAGAAGCCGTTGCGCATATCGCAGAGAGTTTTGGTTCCCATACGCGAGCATCCCAAGGTATAACTGGTACAGAGACCTACAAGTATTTTTTCCAGCAATCAAGCTATCATTTTGGACATAATATGTACGAAATCCTCAGCCTGTCTATTGTTCTTGTGTACACCAATATCGTTGGTGTTGGAATGTCTATTGAATTGGAATAGATTGCTTTGAATAACCAATTGTGTATACAGATAACTGCAAATGGAGCTTAACTTTAAGTCGAACCAGTTTAATATTTGTTACTTTAAAATAAGCTGTTTCATCACTTTAGTTTATACATGTTTCTTAACCTTATTATTGCAGTTCAACTTTGTGGGCAAGCTGCTTGGACCCAAGGGCAACTCGTTGCGTCGCCTGCAGGAGGAAACGCTGTGCAAGATGACCGTGCTAGGCCGCAACTCGATGAGGGATCGCGCCAAGGAAGAGGAGCTGCGCAGCTCCAAGGATCCCAAGTATGCGCATCTGAACAGCGACCTGCACGTCGAGATATCAACAATTGCGCCACCCGCAGAGGCATATGCGCGCATCGCGTATGCCATGGCCGAGCTGCGCAAGTACTTGATACCGGACAGCAACGACATCATACGACAGGAGCAGCTGCGCGAGCTAATGGACAGCACCAGCCTCAACGATAACGACAACACCAATACCAAGAACAGCTATAAGAAGATGCCGCACATGCAAAACGCCAGCGTTGGTGCCAATGCCATGGCTGGGTCTGGGCCTGGGCCGGGCAATGCTGGAGGTGGCGGCGTGGGCATACCTAAAAATGTAGCCCATCACAGTTACAGGTGAGCCCTTTAGATACGCAGGCGTTGGTCAACCTAACTCGATCGATTCCCATAAGCAGAGGCTCCCAGCAGACGTCGTTTAGCAAAAATGTATTGGCTCCTAAACAAAAGGTTATGTCGATTCTCGAAAAGGCCAGAACAGCAATGGACGAAACCTACGGGTGAGTTTCACGCTCCGCAATCGATTGCCTACTATTCTTATACTTATGTGGCCCCATCTTACAGTCGCGGTTATGACGATGGCATTGCCTATGATCCACATCAGTCCTACGACGCCTACAGCTATGCATCGCATAGCGGACACGGACACGGGCCCCACGGGCCGCCCAACAACATCTTGGGCGGCGTTGGCAACATCAGTGGCGTCGGTGGCGGAGCACGCGGTGGCCACTACGATACCCAAGATTATGATACGGACTACACAAGACGGGACTACTACCAGCACTCACCTGGATATGCAGGTACTTAAGATAGGTTTTCACACTGATGAGGCTGGTAAGCTAAGAGGAAAGATTCTCGAATCAGCAACATATTGTTTGTTTTGAATTAGTAAGAACAATGTTTAATACTTTGCAGCTGGCGGCTCGGCGGCGCAATCAAACCCAAACAACTCAACAGGCCTAAATTCAAATCATAATCGCAGTCATGTTAATAGGTGAAATTTGCTGGGATCTAGCAACGCCAGCCGCGATGGAGATGGTGTGAGAGGCACAACCAGTGCGACAAGTCCTATACCGAAAACCCACAATCTGATCAGGAAAGCCCAATTTGGTAACATCAGCAAAAGCAAAAACAACAAAAACAACAGCAGCAACACGTTCGTGCCAAGCTATGATAAACATGAAAACAAGCAAAACAACAACAACAATAACAACAACAGTGGCGGCTGCTTACAGGTAACGAGAATTGAAAGTTTGGCTGATCCGCAGAGCAATAATTTTGAATTAAAAATGTTTAATATTAATCACGAGTATTTTATGCCACAGCAGCAGCAGCAGCAACAACAGACACAACAACATGCCCCACAACAATCGATGGTACAGCAACAACATTCACAGAAAAAATACCCACCGCACAACAGTTACAACAACAAAAACAGCAACAATAACTACAATCACTTGAATAGAACAAATTATAACAATTCCATCGATGCAACAACGACGACGTTATCAATAGCTTCTTGTACACTGAACCAAACGGATCAGGCGAATGGTCAAACGAATGCTGCAACTGGCCGCAATCGCACCATCCACAACAACAACAACCACAGCAGCAACAACAACAACATTCACACATTAGGCAGTAAAAACAAGAACAACATGCAAAACAACCAGAACAACACAACAACTGTTACTGCGCCCAGTATGCTATTAGTAAGGTATTGAAAAGCAATTAAGAGCATAATTAATCAAATGGATATTACAACAACAATCCCTTGTCCAGACCAGTTCAGAACTCCTTCACCTTTCCTTGCACATCCAAACGCTTGTCCACGGCTGATATGCTACAAATGTAAATACATAGATAGATTTCGTGATGGCTGCTTGCTTCAATATACCGATATACTATATCTATCTATACATATCTAGCGCATATTCTATTTATATACATATTTGAATATTTATCCTCAAGTTAAAACTCATCATGATAATCTATTTATTTACATTCGCCAAAAGCCGTCGACTAGAGACACTCACATACAATTGAAATTACTCTAAATACTCTTAACTTGCATTCTCTTACAGCCCTACTTATCCTACGCTTCATTTTCGCGAGATTCCGTTCTTGCCAGTGCAGTTTTTCTAAGCCACATTCAAATCTAACAGATACAATAACAGCAAATACAGCAACAAAATACAGATAAACAATAACAACAAATCAAGAGACAACATCACAAATACTTTGTACACTAAGAGGGAAGAATATTTACAAACGAAAAACTTAAGATATACATGCTTATATATATATATATATATATATATATATATATATATATATATATATATATAAATATATAAATATAAACTAAATACAAACATATACAATATATACATTAAAATATATATATATATTCATGTATATATATATATATATATATATATATATATATCTATTTTTGAGTGCAAGGAAATCGTTGGATGACACAGCTGGATCTACAAATTGATATTTTACCTTGTGTTGGCTGGTGGACGATGGACAATTTATGCCAAGGATATATTGTCCGGTTTTTTAATCTATATTTACACAAAGAGCAAAACATCTTTAAGATACTCGTATTAAAAGTGCGTGCATAAATAACAAATTATCAAGAGATATAACCGTTAAATACTTAGATAAGCACAGCTTAAAGCTGGCTCTGATACTTTGACATATATAACAAGCGTAATACTAATAAATATATATATACATATATTTATTACAAATCTGCTAAATGAACAAAATCTCTCAATACATGCACACACACTACTCGATCTCCAGAATAGAACGCACATGTCTTTAAAAGGAAGCCCAAGTTAATGAATTTTCTGAATAGTAAGAGTTCGGTTACAAATTAGAGAATCGAGTCAAGTAACTACAGATTCCTAATTATTATTTAAATACTATAGCTTCAAAGGATTTAGTTTATATTTAGACAATTCTATCCTGGAGATGGAGGCTTGTGTGCATAACGTGCAGTAGGTCTGCAAATCTATGAGATTCATTACGTGAAACTAAATAATTGGGCACACTTAAATTAAATATTTAATATATATATATATAAATAAATATATACAAATATAGAATTGAATATTTACATTCGAGCAACAAATAAATGAATGATTGATCAAATAAAAGTGAAATGCTATTTATATAATATTAATATGAATAAAATACTCATAACATAATATACATACATATTTATATTAATCAATGATTGTGGGATGAAGCCCATATGTGGATAATGCTGCAAATGATTACTTTATTGAAACAAACAAAAGAACACTAAAATATTGTAACAAATAATACTCATTGAATTTACTCAACTAAGCTCAGAATATTAATCCCAATTGTATTTTCTACTTTAGTAAGTTCCCTTTTTTGATTATGATTTGTACTTCATTTGTTAATTGACTAAAAAATTTTGTGATTCAATGAAATTTCGAATACGACACCTGGTTTGCGTGTGCCCTAAAAGTGAATATGAAATACATTGAAAGAGCAAGAGAATGTTAGAGTTTGTGCCAAATGTAATAAACAATTGATGGAGCAGTCAAGTTTTCAGAAACACAATCTTCCAGTTCGATGATCCGTGACATTGTTTATACGAGTCGAAATAAGTATTCTGACTATTGACTACTTGTGAATTTCCTTCTGCATTGCAACACAGTCGAAATGTTTTAAAAATTATTATTTTGTTGAACTTATAAGCTGAGCGAAGCGATATGAGCATAAAGAACATAAAGTCTAACCTATTGTTAGTAAAGTGCAAACATAATGAAATCAGATAAAAATAAATATCTTGTCCAAAAATGCAAATTGTTGCAACTAAAGCAAAAAAACCTTAAGAAATATTTACTTATAAACATGTGAAAGTTGAATTGTTAAAAACAATTAAAATCTACATTGTATAACAATATCAGTAATAAAGATACATTCATTTATTTCAAGTAAATATTGTTATTATTATGCTAATATAACTAATAAACGTACATACTTAAACGAGGTTCGCGAAACCCAAATACAGAACTTAAATTATATATTAATAATACTTAAATGAATGGCAACAAGTTAAAACACATTTACAATACAAACTATAATAATCGATACTAAAAATTCCCCGCCCTAAAAACAATAAAAATATGAAAACGAAAACGAAATCGAAACAATTAAAATATTGAGATATTCTCATTAATTATTTCATGTACAATTAAATAATAAAAATATTTAAAACTTACGCTCGGTCAGCTTTTCACTTTCAATTTGTTGCATCCATAATATTTAGAGATTATTTAAAAAAGAAGCTAATAACAATTTTATCTATTTTATCTTATAGCTGGCATAGGAACTATTCGTCGGAAACAAAAGTCCTATCAACATCGGAGCACTATGTCTTATATCTGTTGGAATATTAGGATCTTAATATATATATATATGAAAATGTCTACAAGCGTATTATATATTCTTTACTATTCGTTCTATATATTGAACTAGACTATTACCTTGATCATGTTGTCTTATGTTCCCTATAATATACTTAGTATTGGGAACCGGCCGACGCCGACATGTGTATACCCTGCACTAAGCGAACGGACGTCAAACTTCAAGAAGGGTTTAACAGAATAGTTTTTATAGATGTTCTTGGATGAATCGGTTTTCGATATAGTTCAAGAACTGATTTACTTTCTTGCAAGTTTACTGGGTCTGTTTTAATGCAATACACACAGACAAATTGCAGGTAAAATTGCAATTGCATTATTTTGAATCTTATCAAATTTGCTAATTGAGTTCAATAATATGGGGATTCAAAAAGTAGGCACGCATTCGAGTGGCTACGTCCACGAGTCGAGTCAGAGGCGGGCTTGCATTGTATCAATTCAAGCAAACATAAAATGGCACTAAATGTTTACTTGTTTGACTTTTAGCTACTTCATCAATATTTATGAGCTCGGGGTTATAAAGCTTAGGAATGAATTTATCGAATGGCCTGTATAAAAGGTTCTGCAAATTTGGAAAGCGTGTCATTTGAACGTCGGCTCTTTAACCTGATATCGGTTCGATCGAAAATTCTACTGCGTGTGTAAAGTGGATATAATATTATACAAAATGGAATCCGAAATTAAGAAATTTTATAAAAATAAAACGATTTTTTTAACCGGTGGCAGTGGATTCCTGGGCAAAGGTATAAAAACGTAAAAGTTAACTACGGCATTTCCTATGAGTATTAAAAATAACACGAGAAAGTTGGGATATTTTCGGCACTTCGAAGGTTTAATACCCTTGTAGACATTTGTCAGAAAAGTGAAGCTCGCAAATGTAGAACTCGGAAAAAATACTCATTTTTCCATCGGTTCTTCCTATAGAGCTATATAAAAAAGAAGTGTGAACTTGATTGGATAAAAGCTGAAGAGTTTAAGTGGAAAATGCTGGCGTTTTTCTCACATGAAATTAATTCTCCTCCGATCAATCCCATAAAAGCTGTAAGAGTTAGCAATACCTTGAGAAACTAAAAGTTAGTTTTCGATGGATCTTTTTTATTGTAGCTATAAGATATAGATATAGATATAGAAGAACCTAGATATAGAAGAACCTTCATGACCAAATTATAATACCCTCTAAAAGGGTATTATGAGACACGTGCAAAGTATCCGATTCTTTGGATTCAGAGTCTAAAATTCTGGAACATAAATACTTTCAGTGATTATTGAGAAGCTGCTGCGTGCAACAGATGTGAAGCGCATCTATTTGTTGATCAGATCCAAACGGGGCAAGGACACACAGGAGCGCTTTGACCAATGGAAAACCAATTCCGTGAGTATCAAACCGAGTGGGGAGGGAGTCCTAGCCTTTTGAGTCGAGCAATATAACCCGCAATCTGTAGCTCTTTGATGTCCTGCTGAAATCCAAACCGAACATATTCGATCGCGTGGTGATTATAACAGGTGATTGCAAGGAGCCGGATCTGGGCATCAGCCAAACGGACCGCGCACTGCTGACGCAGGAGGTGGAGCTGGTCGTGCACAGCGCGGCAACGGTGAACTTTGCCGAGCCGCTGCACGTGGCATTGGATATCAATGCGCATGCCACTCGCCAAATGCTGCAGCTGGCGAAGGATATGCAGCGCCTGGTGGCATTTGTGCACGTTTCCACCGCCTTTTCCAACTGCGTGATCCATCACATTAAGGAACGCTTCTATCCGGAGCACTTGAGCTGCAAAGTGAATAAGGTATTGGAGCTGAGAGAATTGTTGAGCACGGATCTGTTGGATCGGATGGCTCCAGCACTGCTGGACAGGTTTCCCAATACGTACACCTATACGAAGGCCTTGGCCGAGCAGCTGGTCCAGACGGAGGCGGGTGATTTGCCCGTCTGCATCTTTCGTCCGGGTTCCAGTGGGTAGCACTAGCTAAACCATTTGATTCATTTGTAAATAGTCCATTAATCATTCAGTTGTGGCGACCAGCAAGGAGCCCGTTGCCGGCTGGATAGACAACATCTACGGACCCATTGCGGTGCTCTACGGCGTCTCATTTGGGGTCTTGCGTGTCGCCCCCCTCAATCGGCGGGCTATATCCAACATTGTGCCCGTCGACGGCTGTGCCAATCTGGTTTTGGCCTGCGCCTGGCGTACGGCCATGGAGGCGACGCAACGTAAACAGCAGGTTATTCCAGCGCCTGCGACCATTTACAACTATGTGCCCAGCAGCGAGAATATAATCTATAATTCGGATTTCACTGGCGCCGTGGAAAAGAAACGGCACGTTTTTCCCATGACCCAGGCGATATGGTATCCGTTTCTGCACACCACCACGATGCCGTGGCTCTTTAAATTGGCCACCATTTTCTATCATCTGCTGCCCGGCTACTTGGTTGATCTGCTGTTGCGCCTGCGCGGCCAGAAGCCGCGCCTGATTCCCATCTACGAGAAGATACACAAGAATATCGATGTGCTGCAAAAGTTCATGATCGAGAGCTGGAGCTTCGAGACGCCCAACACGGATCGCCTGTGGCAGAGCATGTCTGCAGCGGATCAGCAGCTGTTCGACTTCGATATGAAATCCTTGGACTGGCAGGGCTATTTCGATCGCGCCTTGTTCGGCATGCGCACCTACCTGGGCAAGGAGGACCCAAGCGAAGAGTCCATCAGGCTCGGTGTTCAGAAGGCAAATCGGTACGTTGACAACTATTTAAATTTGGCGACATATCCTATCTGATATCTCAATTTTTTTCTACATTCAGCTTTCTTATAATGCATCGACTCTTGCAATTCGGCATTTTCTGCCTTGGCATTGCTATCCTGAGATGGCTGATCTGCCTGTTCCTATAATTATAGCAAGCCAGGAAGAACACTCAATGCATATTTTAGAATCTTAAGTAGGTTAGTTATATTAGGCTTTAGCGTTCTGCTAAGGAATCGGAACTTGATATTGATACCAATAGAAATAATGTTGCAAATGGAAGTGGTTCTTTTCCTCGAGCGTTCCTGACCCATTTAAAGGCCTTCTTGTTCCTGTTGTGGCCCAATCAACAAACTAAGTTAATGCTGAATAAAAAACTCATTACTGATTTTCTGAAAACTTAATATCTATAGTTATCTATAAAGAACCATTCTTCTAATTTAAATAAAACTAATATTTTCATATTTCGAAATATGGTAAATTAGCGGAAAGGTTTTAAGGTCTCTGTGAAAATGTATCTTTTACATCTTTAATACTTTTCGTACAATCCAACTCTATTCCACGAAAAATGAGAATCACAGGGAGTATGAATAAACGTTTAGTATTCGGATTTAGACCTTGACTAATTATATGCTAAATATTTAAATTGTTGACTCTAGGTTTGGCAATAAACTCATGCATATTCATTTTAGATAAATCGATGCTTCCGGGAGCATAAATCGAAAAATTTAAATATATTCAAAATAAGTACGTTTCATTATCGGTTGAGGCATTGTCAAAGTGTATTATTAGTAATGTATTAATAAGCCAAGGTATAAAAATGTTAATATCTAACCGAATGGCTTTCATAGTTCAATTTCATTGATCCTGTCACAGTCAAAAGCTACTCGCTACACCACCTCGCAGCGATGACAAGAACCAAAAAGTATCCGAACCAATAAAATATCCCAAAAATTCGCGCTACTTTCGAACGGATAAATATGTGTATACCGACCGTACTTGTATCCGAATCTCAACGGAAATTAAATTTGAATTTTCATTTCGAATATGCTTTTGACAAAAAAAAAGAATGCATAAATAAATAAAAATATATGTTGTATTTATTTATTACATAAAATATAGTTTAGTTTTTATATTGCTTCACAATAACTGACTAGAGTAAATACCCTAAAAACTAAAATTTGTAGTAAAAGTTGAAACTCTCCCTCGTCTTTAGGATTGCGTTGCGGAGCCCTTATCCAATGTCCTCAGGCATCCACAATGTTCGTTTTAGGTACAATAAAATTGTACATTAAACTGACTAGAATGTCCCGAATAGGGATCGTTGGTGCCTTCTTTTAGGCATGTAATAGTCCGTCGCTTTGACCTACCAGCTTGCCGAGCAGCGCCTTGTACAGCACGGACTCCGTGGAGACACCCTCGCTCTGCAGGAAGAGCAGCGTTTCGCGTGCACACATGGCAAAGCCCAGGGCCTCTGCTTCGCTGCGTCGGGTTGGCGCTGGAAAGTTGGCTGCCAGCTCGGCACCCTCGAGGACTTCTTCGTCGCTGTCGAACGCGCTGGCCTCGCGTTCGTCCAAATCCTGCTCAAACGAGTCCAGCTCTGACTGCAGCTCCATGATCTTTTGCAGTGCCTCGAGCAAAATGCTGTTGGGCGCATCTCCAATATCATTTGGCGGGCTATCAGACGGCTGCGCTGGTGGTGTATCCGATCTGGGCTCCAATTCCAAGCGATGGCGCTTCTCGCCAGTTGCCTCCTGGTCCAGCTCCTTGTCCTGCTGCTCCTCAGCCTGCTGGGTTCTTAGCTGATCCGCACGTTTGCGTTTCATAATCAGTTTCCCGGACATAGGAGAATCTTCTTCAGCTTTGGGTGTATCCTGTATCCAGTTGGTTTTGTCCGCGGCACAACCTTCGTTCACCTGGTGATCACAACAACTGAACATCGAATGCACCCCAGCGCAGCACGAACGGCTCGAACTGTTGCAGGGAGCGCGATCCTGAAAGCAACCCCAATAAGAGACAGCCGGGCATTAGGGGATGTGCCTGGCTCGAAATTAAAAGCGACCAACAAAAAATTGTTGCAGCTGTTGAAATTTGTCGGCCGCTGCTGGCAGCTGAAGCGGGAGGGCAACAGGATACAGGCAGGATATTGTGCTGCAATCCAAAAGCAACCCCTGACAATCTGCTCTCTCCTGCTGCAGCGGCCTGCTATCTCGTCCTCGCCCCAGTGACCCTCGCCTCGTGTCCCTTCCGTTCTCGTTGCCTTTGCCGTTGTCTCGTGGCAGTTCCTGTGTATCGGCTACCCTCACTTCGGCATACTCTACTCCCCTGTATGTGCTGTGCACCGTAGCGCATTCGGTGCTCGTTGCATTCCATGCCGAGCATTTGCAGCTGGCACGCTTCACAAGCATCTCTTCGATTTCTGCGGCGCTGTCCCTCCCGAGTACGCTTTGACCTGTCAATGATAAGTGTACAACCTTTACACTGGAAACAAAAATTTTGCTGTTTATTGTTGGTTGCACTTTGCATTTCGAAGGAACAACCTTAAAATCTAACAGCATACATAAACCCTTATTGCTCAAAATTGATATTAATAAGGGATATTTTGCCATTAATATTATTTGAGATCTTAACATTTTATTGTGCCTTCTTTTCGTTGGGCTCTCCTAAAAATAAATAATACAAATAAAAATTACAACTAAATAACAAATAATAATAATGAAACGCATTTTGTTCAGTGTATATTATACCAAGCATCATAAAATGGTTCTTAGGAAATATTTTAAAACCATCTAAAACTAAGATTATTTTAAAATTAAATAATATATAGATCTATTTATATTTCAAATCGATAAATAAGGACAAGTTATAAGAGGTAGTCAACTATTTTCGTCTACAAAGATTTCGAATATTTTACTATTCCCCATTTTTGGAGGTATATCTATAAAGGTTGCACAATGAACACTCTAACTAATTACGAAGGAATTTCCCACAATGTAAAGCTTAGGCGCAGAGTAAAGGGTATCTGTCAGCAGGCACTCCCGATTACAGTCACATTTGTTGTGTGCTTAGCCCCTCGACAAGTACTCTAATACATAGGCCTTTTTTTGCATAGAAAAATCCAAAGGTATTCGTTAAACTACTTCGATTTTTTCTGCTACTTTCGGATGAAAATAAAAGTCGCATTTTATTTGGGATTTTCGCAAACGCAACTTGAGAATTTAGCCATGACTTATTGACAGATTGTTCACATATAGCATTAGCTAATGTCGCTATCAGATCGTTCTCTGTGCTACAAATAGAGGGAACATAGCGGCTGGCACCTGCTTGAAGAGAGTGTGCTTAATTTTAATTTTAATTTAAAAAGCTGTTTTCTAACGATTTGAGTCCAGTTTGTGTACAGATTGTGCGATGAGTGCATGTAAGCGCCCAGAGTTCAGTTCAGGCAATTTTTTTAGTGGATATCTTCTAAATCTAACAGGGCTTGGATTCACTGCATATCAAAATGATAACCCCAAGTTACTTGACTGAGATAAGGCTTTAGATCTAAAGTATTTGCATTTATTTATATATTATTCAGCCACAAATAACGTACTTAGTTTAAGTCGTATGTTATGTAAATATTTTGCTACATACCCTACATCAATTGCATTTCCGACCTAAAATATAGCATATCAGTTTACCTTCAATTGATTTCAAGTTATGAATAATTCTCCCACTTATCACTAACATCGATTTATACTTATTAAAGTCGAGCTCTAGCTTGATAATTTCAAATTTTGGCACTCAAGTTCTAAACGATTTTATGCTCTTCAAGTTGTGTGCTGGGTATCTCATAGTCGGTTAACCTTGACAAGAACATTTCAACTTGTTTAGTGTGAGAGAAAATGTATTAGCTACTAGGTCAATAATTTAGATTAGACCTAAAGAACTTAGGTTGTAGAGCTTGTGATTTAATCGTCAATTAACCTACATTAATTATAATCATATATTTATATAATTATATATAATTATAATTATTAACAACAACAATGAGGTGCTTGAAATTGAGATTTTTCCATTTGTTAACTAGTCTAATTGCTTACTTTTTCATTGTACGGATTAGATTCCAAGTTGAAGTGCACCAAAACTGGCTAGATTTGATCAAGATATCAAGATGTTACACAGACTTTAATCCAAATCAAACATTCCATTCATATTTCAGTTCCGACAATGAGGCAGCAATGGATTTTATTATTTTTGGTGGTATACGGGCACCTGATAGGTGCTAATCCCATCGTATCCGGAAACTCTGTGCTTACTGAATTCATAATTCTACACAATAATGACATGCACGCGAGGTTCGAGCAGGTGAATAAAAATGGAGGAGCTTGCACTCCGGAGGATGTCAGCAGGGACAAATGTTTCGGCGGCTTCGCACGTATTGCCCATGTGTAAGTACCATGACTAAATTTTGGTCAATGAAAGTCAATTAATTTCCAATCTTGCAGAGTGCGAAAATATCGAGAAGAGGCAAAGAACGGAGGAGCTGCAGCACTATATTTAAATGCAGGCGATACCTACAGCGGAACCGTGTGGTTCATGGTCTTCAAGGACAAAATTGCCAGCACCTTGCTCAATAAACTTCATCCGGATGCTATGGTAAGATCATATCAGGAACAGTATCAGTACGAATCTTGCGCTCCTAATACCTGTCTGCAATTGGTCTAGTGTCTAGGGAATCACGAGTTCGATCTGAAGATTGAAGGACTTGTGCCGTTTCTTAATGCTGTAAACTTTCCGGTGCTGGTCTCGAACGTGGACTTCTCCAAGGAGCCCGAATTGGTGGCCACCAATAAACTGAGCAATTCAACAATTCTTGAGGTAAATGGCACTAAAGTTGGCCTTATAGGATACCTCACGCCGAAAACGAAGGAAGACTACATCAACAAGGTGGAGTTCAGTGAAGAAACCGTGTCCATCAAGTAAGTGTGTAGGTTTTTTTTTTCGCTAATTCTCTCTCTAACTCTTTGTAACTCTCTTCTAGTGCTGAAGCACAGAGGCTAAAGGATCAAGGCATCAATATAATAATTGCCTTGGGACATTCTGGTTACCACAAGGATCAGGAGATTGCCAGAAACTGCCCCGATATTGACATAGTAATCGGAGGTCATTCGCACACGCATCTAGACTCCAATCAACCCGTCGCTGACAAGGACGACACCCATCCCGAAGCGGTTAGAGGACCCTACCCCACCACGGTGGTGCAACCAAGCGGCAAAAAGGTGCCCGTCGTGCAGGCCTACACAAGCACAAAGTATTTGGGCAAGCTACATGTTCAGGTTAGTTCTGGACACATCCCTAATGACTTAATAATAACCCATATTTATATGACAGTTCGATGCCAATGGCGATTTAATCAAGTTTGATGGCGAGCCGCTGCTCCTGGATGCTTCAGTGCCGCAGGAGCAAGATTTCTTGGATTTACTTGATGTGTATCGTCCCAATATCACCGCCAGAGGAGAACAAATTATTGGCCACACTAAGGTCTACCTAGAGGGCGGCAATATGTGTCGATTAAGAGAATGCAATCTTGGTAATATGATTGCCGATTCCATGGTCTACGCTCGCATGCTGGAGAACAAGGGCGGCGAATACTGGACTGATGCGGCGATTGCCTTGATCTCAGGAGGTGGTCAGTTTTATATTGGGTGAAGGCAATTGTTGTGCCACAATTGAATGCTTCTTCTGTTGCAGGTATACGCACCTCAATTAGTAAGAATGCCGAAGGTTCTATTACTTTCAGGGACATGTCGGAGACCATTCCCTTTGAGAATCGTCTATTTGTGACGCGCATTACCGGAAAAACATTGCTCAACGCCCTGGAGCTCTCGGCCTCAATCAGGAACCGGGACTCAAACGGCGGCTTTCAGCAGCTCTCTGGCATTCGAGTCGAGTACAACTACGACTTGGAAGAGGGACACCGAGTGACCTCCGCTCTGATTCGTTGTGCCGAATGCAGTGTGCCTTCCTATCTGAATCTCAATGAATCGGCCTACTACAAGGTTGTTGTGCCGGAGTTTTTACTGAATGGAGGCGATGGCTTTCACCTGATTGAGTCGAAGGATCCGTTCACTGAGCTCTTGGAACAAGACGACAAAGGTGCCCTACAACAGTATCTACAGGGTACACATTTTGTTTATCCTGCACTAGAGGGTCGCATAGTTATAAAAAAATCCAATTAGTTACAAAGTTCCTAAACAAATAGAATATATTCAAATATGTTCAAAGTTTTTCAAAATTTTTGCACAAACTCTATTTTATGACCACAAATTGGAAATACGCACTGAGAACGTCGTTTCCACAGACCGTAAAATCATATCTCCAATAACTTTTCTGGACAATATATATATATATAAAACATATCTAAAATATATATCGATTTAATAGAGTTTTGTATTTGCGCAAAAGTTTTTATCAATTTCGATACTAGATAATAAACATAAAATGTTGCAACATTAATTAATTAAATGCCTAACAGCCTGAACATTATCAAGTCGGCAATTAATTGGACTATCGTTATTTAAATATATATATTTTATTATAATATACAAATTTAGTATAAATAGGTCAATTTATTGCATTCGACTGAAATGCTCTTAAGCAAATAAGAGTGTTGAGGTCGGATGCAGCCGACTGCGCAATACTCTGTTCATAATGTTTCAACTGATCAAAAAGGGCTAGAACGGTAATAATAGAAACTCTAACATAGATTTTAAAACTGGAGGCAATATAAATTTTCACACTGCGTTAAGTAAATACTTAAAAAAAAATGTGATGAGTAGAGCAAAGGACATTTATATTGCCTTTAGTTGAGTCCTAAAATTGTAAGAGTTTGGAATCTCCAGCCTTTAGGAATATATCGGGCTTTACACATTTAAAATATCAAAATCGCAACTTAAGATAAATTATAATATTTTATTTTTTTATGCTATGCAAACATATGGATACATTTGATTTGCATCTTGGTCAGATGGCAAGCTTAGTTGCTCTGATCTCAGAGATTTGAATACTTTAGTTAGGACTTAGCAAAGTCATGCTGGTTTCTCAAATCTTGCTCAAGAAACTTTGATGTGGGACCATAAAACTCTGACCTGATGTTTCCTAATATGCCCGGGAATAGTTGTTTGCAGAGCCCACCATCTGTGTTATGGTTAGGGGCTTTATTGTGCAGGTGACATTTGCTTGTGTGTCAGGTAGGCAGATCTCAACTTTGCTTGTCAATGTGCCTCAAGCCAATAAAGACACAGCTAATCTAAGCAGCCTATTCCAGACACTTTATATTAGTAATAATTCGATTTCTGACAAAGTTTTGGACTTTGTTGTACAGTCATCGCAGATAAGGAATTATGTTGTTTTTGGATACCTTATCTCAGTGAACCGAAATAAAACAAAAAACTATTTTTAATGTGAGTTGTCTGATCAAAAGCTTTAAAAGTATTTGTTAATGCAACAATTGCTAAAATACAAATTTAATTTTGGTAACGTGATCATGTAAACTATATATATAAAATATATTGCTTCTCAGGAACTACACAGAGCTTCAAGATACTTTTAGTTGAATTACAAATTTGATAGTTAGCAGTAAATATCAAGTATTAAGTTATCACGGAGCGGAAGCTGTCAGTTTTCTCAGATCTGACGAAAATCGAATTTATTTATTTGGAACAGAGCCTAATAAATATGTTGTCAAAGTAAAAATCGAAATGTAGAAAATGTACGTGAGCATAATGTTTGCCATAATATATACAATATTATGTTAGAAGAAAAAAAAACTGGATGATAAAATGACACATGGTCTAGATTGTTCTTGCCAAGAGTTCTTTGATTTACGATCGGGAAACAATGTATGGCTTTGTTATCATTTTGATTTTTAATTATTTTTGCGTAAAATAAGTATATTGATAGCAGAAGAGTTTTATAATTCACGGCCGCAGAATGAGATAATGTTTGTTCGAAAGATCTTTGAGCAACTTCTGCAGCTGTCTTTTCTGTTGACATTGACACATTAATGTGAATGTGAATATGAGCCGTGAATAAGTGTCTGAGTGTCTGAGTGCTTATGTATAGAATACATAAAAAGAAATATTTAAATACAACCGTGTACTAGCGCAAAAGTTACAGTAGCTAAATAAATACATGAGTACATAAGTATCTGTGTGCTTATGTGTGCATGTATGTGTGCATTGTTGATATTTGCGTGGGAACATCGCGTTCTGTTTAAGCAGCTGTTCGACATATAAAAAAAACCTGCAGAGTCTAAAATATGTACGCGTGTGGAATGGCAGTATCTTCTGCATGAAACACGCAAACAGTATATATGTATATCTACAGGTCTGCAAATTTTGATTATGCCTAGAACTTGCGTTTTTATCAGTATCAGTATCTGAACCCAATGACATCTATGGGCTAGAGATGCGCTGCTTGATAACGCGCTACGCTGTGTCCTGCTGCTAATATCAGTTTGTCAAAAAAAAAAAAAAAAAAAACTAAGACAATATTGGAGAGATAATCACATCACAAATAGCAATTAGAGTCGTAGTGCTCGTATCTGCAAATAAATACAATAGAGCTATTAAAATCATTGCCTCCGCCTGAAACACAGCCAAAACAAAAAAAAATAAAAACCGAAAAAAAACAGCGACAGTCGCAACCACGCGCTGCTCGTATCGTAATCGGGCGCTCAGTGAGACAATATTCAAGTATTTCGGTTATAGCCGCTGTTCCACGACGTTTTTGGGCCAGTTTGTTGGCGGATTGTGCGACGAGAGCATGTAAGTACCTACGGGCTCTGGCTGGGCACAGAGTTTCGAGCGACCTGCACAGGTGTTTTTTCCGTTGCACTACCTGTTGGCCAGCTGATATCGTGCAATTGTCAATCTGTATTGTTCGTATGTATATAGAATTACATGTAAATGGAGATTACCATTGTTTTACAATGTGCAATGATGCACTTAAAAACAAGCGAGACGTCGAGAAAGCTAATTTATCATGTGCAGTATTCGAATCGAATCCAATATTCATTCATTTCTTGTATCTACACAGAGCACACCGCAATCACCTGCTAATTAATAGGTATTATAGTCCATAACAATAACAAATGTGCTTGTACTTCGTTGTTGTTTTTGTATTTACATACACAATTTGAAGTCCATGCGTAAGCACACACGTATACATATTCATTTTTTAAAGAGGCCACAAATCATTTAATGAACGAAAACCTGCGTCCGTCCATCGTTTCACGTAGTTCGTGTAGGTACATGTGTTAGATTAGATTTAGTGGCTATTATAATCTCGTATATTGATTTGCTTTGAAAATTTGCAACCAATCGAGCCCATGTCCTCTGCTGATAAGCTGTTATTTATTAATGGATCGCCAAAAACAAAATTGATTTCTCTTACAACAAATAATATGAGGCATATATATTTGATAGATATAACGATTATTACGAAATTCATAAAAAGCCCCCACTGACATTCGCAATTAAATTCGAGATCCAATTGCGTTAGCTTCGTGAACATATATTATATACAAAAATATATTACATGTAATATACATACACCTCTTCAGCTCGAGTATGGCTTATCAGTTGATTATCGTGGCCTGGATTTTGCTGCTCAGCCAGAGTAGGGCCAATCCCATTGCTCCGAGAAGCGTTGCCACGGAGCTCATAATTCTCCACAATAATGACATGCACGCGAGATTTGAGCAGACGAACAAGAACGGAGGCACGTGCACCCAGGAAGATGCCAATACGGACAAGTGTTACGGCGGATTCGCCCGTGTTGCCAGCGAGTAAGTGTAACTGACTGAAAGATCCAGGGAAAATGCTCAACTTAAACAACTTATTTCAGAGTGCGAAAATATCGAGAAGAGGCCAAGAATGGAGGGACTCCCGTGTTTTATCTGAATGCAGGTGACACCTATACCGGAACAGCCTGGTTCTCAGTCTTCAAGGACAATATTACCAGCGCTTTTCTCAACAAACTGCAGCCGGATGCTATTGTAAGTGCCAATCAGCTCGTAAATATATTCCCATAATAACTACTTTGCTTTTTTGCAGTCACTTGGAAACCACGAGTTTGATAAGAACGTTAAGGGTCTGATACCATTCCTCAATGCCGTGGAGTTTCCCGTGCTGGCGTGCAATTTGGACTTGACAAATGAACCCGAACTGGCGGCGACTAAGAAACTGGCTAATTCCACGGTGCTAGAGACAAACGGAGTTAAAATAGGTGTAATTGGTTATCTCACGCCGGATACCAAGAACCTTTCCTTTCAAAACAACGTGGAATTTGTCGAGGAAATCGTTTCAATCAAGTAACAGCGCCCGATTCTCACATAAATCGTAATATCTGACCACTTTGTATGTATTTTCAGTGCTGAGGCACAGAGGCTAAAGGATCAAGGCATCAATATAATAATTGCCTTGGGACATTCTGGCTACCAGAAGGATCAGGAGATTGCCAGAAATTGTCCGGATATTGATATAGTAATCGGCGGCCATTCGCACACTTATCTGGACTCAAATCAACCTGTCGCCGACAAGGACGATACAAATCCTGAAGCGGTTCGAGGACCCTACCCAACCACGGTGGTCCAAACAAGCGGCAAAAAGGTGCCCGTCGTGCAAGCTTATGCTTACACAAAATATCTGGGAAAGCTGCATGTCCAGGTGAGTTCAGGATTACGTACCCATTAGTATGTGATTTAAGCCCTTCTCCATTCATCCAGTTCGATGCAGAGGGCAATTTAATTGAGATTGATGGATCGCCAATACTTTTGAATGCATCAGTTACGCAAGAGCAGGACCTGTTGGATTTGCTTGAGGTATACCGTCCGAATATCACGAGGTTGGAGCAAACAATTGTCGGATACACCAAGGTCACGCTTGAGGGCGGCAATGTGTGTCGCCTGAGGGAATGCAATCTCGGCAATCTTATTGCGGATTCCATGGTGCACACCCGAGTGCTGGAGAACAAGGGTGGCGATTACTGGACAGATGCTCCTATAGCTCTGCTGCAAGGCGGCGGTAAGTCTGACAGCTTTGAGTTGGAGCCAATCTAAGTCCAAAGTTTTATTTTGTAGGCATTCGCAGCTCCATTGACAAAAATGCGAACGGTTCCATTACGGGCAGCGACATTCTCACAGTGCTTCCTTTCGAGAATAGCCTCTATATAACGCGTATTACGGGAAAAACATTGCGAGCTGCCTTGGAACGTTCTGCCCTTGTTCGCAACACGGACTCGAACGGCGGCTTCCTCCAGTTTGCCGGCGTACGCGTCGAATACAACTACGACAAGGAGGAGGGACAACGTGTCGTCTCCGCCCTGGTGCGCTGTGCAGAGTGCAGTGTGCCCACCTACAGCAACCTTAACGTATCCGCCTACTATAAGGTGATCGTGTCCG